CCCCAAAACCCCAAAACCCCAAAACCCCAAAACCCCATATAAATCGCAAACTGCAGTTTTATTCTAAATATATTAAATATCTCAAAATTAATTATTGGCAGTTGCAGATTTATATGCTACTCTGTGTTTACAAGAACATTCTTGCATCTTTAACTCCATAGGTATAGTTATTTTTACAGTTGAATACATCTGGAATGAAATCGGAATGGTGCCTATATCATATCTAAAATCAATAAATATTACTGGTCCTGATTTTGATTTAGAGGAGCTGGTCGTCTCACTTTTGTTGATCTATCAGGTCGCCTTATCGCCTATGGAAATGCCATTGTACCGGGAGTATAATACAGTTTAGTAGAAGAGCCACATTAGTTTAGGAATTATATTCTGTTCTTACTTTTATATTTGATGAATTCTTAACTTGATCTAGGGCAGAAGACTTTTTGCCTCTTGGTTTTCGAGTGAGTCCTTCCGTGCCCTTCCTTTGAGGGCTGTAGATCACCCAACTTGAGTCTATTCTTTTGTAATTTTCTTTATCAAAGCTAGCAAATTTTATCTTGTCCTTTCTTATTACCTTCTTCTTTAGTTTTTGAGGATTTATCAAAGGAGCTATAATTTGTTCCCCAAGAGGTTTAAATGACTTTGAGGGAGTTTTCTTATTAACTCTTTGAAGGATATTCATGGATTTTTCTTTAAAGACTTTGATATTTTGGCATGGATTTTCATCATTTTCCATACTAACTGAGCAAGAGTTGCTTTCTGAATCACATTCTCCTAAGCCGAGATTTTTGCTAGCACTCTTCTTCTGTTTATAAAAATATGATGTATTTCTTTCCTCAGTATATTCGTTCACAATATGAGAAGAATTTGTTTTTCTCGGTCTAAATTTATTTAAAATTTGCAGAAGTATCAAATTTTAACATTAAAATTTCGAAATTTTCATAATTATACCTTGTAACCGTAAGGTTCCTTCCGTGAATCAAGGGAAGCTTTGTATCTCTATGGCTATTTCTAGCTAAGTTGGAGTTCTCCATGTCAACAGAGGAGTTGTCATAAGTCCTTTGCCTAAACATGTCAAATCTTTATCTCACTCTTCGGACAGCTTAGCACTACCCGTCTGGTCGATAGACTCGTGGTCGCCACTTATGTTAGGCGTCCCCACCTTGGACTTGGTGTCTCTGCTCATTGCTCGGATGGGCGATAAGATTTTGCTGCTTAAAATACTAAGAGTTACTGTAAAGGAATACCTTCAGCATTTTTCAGAGTGATTGGGTGGTTTGTACTCCTGCCTGCACACTGTTTGGTTCGAAGAGATTGTTGGAAGGTCTTCAGTAGACCCTGCGTTCACTGTAATGGCGGATAGCTTTGGAATCATGAGTTTTGATAGGTTAGAGGGGTATTTAGATGAATCTAATGCTCTGAGTCGTCGGATAGGTGTGTTTTTAGGGTTAGTTTTTGAGCCAAAGCTATTATACAGTTAGAAATTTACAAAAATAGGTGAAATTTTTACCTCACTGGTTTTGTTGTTTCATTAGATATCATCTCCAAATTTACACCGAAATTAAAAGTCTCTAGGTTTTTACCATTTTTGCGAATCTCCCTCTTTCTATGTAAGTTCTCCTCATGCCTTTTGATTTGGATTAGAGGGCTAATTATGGACGCATTTTTATCTAAAAATTATGAATAAGCAACTACTCTTAAACTCTCGTTCAATGCTTTTAGGGTTGTTTTCTGAGTTAACTTCAAGAACATTGATTTTAAATTCACTTGTTTTCTGTTTTCTCTTATTTTTACGTAATTTTGGACTCTTATTGAACCTCTTAGCCATTAATTTTAAAGCAAGTTTATTTAATGCTGCCATAAAGATTGGGATTGTATTGATTGAGCTTAGCTCTGAAGTCCTTTGTTGGATTCAAAACGAAGTTAGACACCATTTTCCAATCTTTTTGAGCCTTATCGTCCAATGTCTTACAAAATTTGTATTTGTCTCCAAAGCTCATGGACTCTTGGAACTGCTGAGTCTTGTTATATGGAGTAATATAAAAATCAATTTTCTTAAGAATGTTGTTGTCACGAGATAAATGAGCATCAATAGCATTCTCCACTGCCTTCTTTAAGGTCTGATCTTGGGTGCCATTACATTTGTCAAAAAGTTCATTTTCAGATCCAAGTATTGTGTGCAAATTTTTAAGGCTACTTTGGATATACCTTAGTTCGGAATTATTCCGAGTACTCCTTCCTCTCTTGAGTTTATGTATTCTTTTATTGGAAGTCTCCGTCAAAATAGATTCAGACATTTATGTTATTGTAAATAAAAATTATTAATCTAATTATACTGGTGAGATATATACTGCTCAATGCTTTCAGAACTTTTGGGGTTTTGGGGTTTTGGGGTTTTGGGGTTTTGGGGTTTTGGGG